CCCAACAAACAAGACAATCAGTAGCCATCACGGCAAGGAATGTAATAGATCCAACATCAGAGGACGCCGAAGAACAACAAGACCTTCAAAAGTGAAAGTGCTGTCAATGTGATGAGTTGAAGTTTATTTCATGAACTTATTAACCAAGTGGTAATATAACTAGTTACAGTTAACTAAATTTTAAATTTTAACTTTTAACATTTGTATTTTTAACTTATATTTTATAAGAAGAACTTGACACATATTATTTGAGCGTGGACCTGAACAGGATACAGGATCAAAAATAAATGGAAAAACGAAATGTGATTGCGTGTGATTGTGAAACTGTGTTCGTACACCTGAGGATGACCTCTTGAGGTCGAAACATGTAGTGTGACGGTAAATAAAAAACGTGTTGTGTGGTCGGTAAAATTAAATCTAATATGGATATTATAAAATTATCTGCAATATTACCTTAGGTTTGGAGTGTGTTGTGAAGGTTAGTATTGTGTCAAACACCTGTAAAGTGGATGGGTTGGACCACACTGCAACCTCCTGCACTTGCAGCAACACGGAAAGACAACCAATCAGCTGCAATCAGAGAACTTACTCAGTGTCACAGTATACTATGGGACATTAGACTGACTACACATACTTCAGATTCAAACAAGCTTCCCATAAAAACAGATGATTAATTATTTCTTCTTCCGGGGCATGACTGAATATAGGATTGCAAACTCAATTTTCTGAACATAGGGCCAAACATTCATTGGCTCTCATCCTTTCCTGATGCGGGTCCATGTTGGCTATTATTTCCTCTTTTAGGTCTCTGTCCTGGCTTGATGGATATCCATCCCGGAAACGAGAGTATCGATCAGCCGTTTGGGTTTGCTGTGTTGTTTCTCCGTGTATTCTTTTTTAATTTGCTTAGTGGGGGGCGGAGTCCAGTTGTGTCCACTCAGCATGGAGGCCACTGATTGGCCTATTGTTCCTGCCCCAGGTGATTATGTTGATGAAGAATTTGGTGGAATGAAGAATGGCAGGGGGAAACCGAAATACTCGGAGAAAACCCGCCCCAGCACCACTTTGTTCACCATAAATCCGACTTGACCAGAGCGGGGATCAAACCCGAGTTGCAGCAGTGGGAAGCTAGCTACTAACCGCTTGAGCTATGGCATGGCCTGAGATGAGAGTACATCTAAGAACCTCAAACTTCTCACTATATGTTTTTATTTCGGCTTTGATTTTGGTTTCCAGCCTTGCTATCAACACTTCTTCCACTTCCTTCAGAGTGGTGTCTGCCTTGGCTTGGCTGGTTCTTATGTCTTCTTTCATTTCAATTAGATTATGTCAATTTTTGCTTGGATGGCATCCATCTTGGCCAGCAGGCATTCCATCATTTGTTTCATTATTTAGTATGATGATATAGCTTCTTACTGAGGTTTCCAATCCAGCCACTTCTGACACCAGTTGTCAGGTGTCTGGGTGGGACTATAGATAGGGTTTTGGATTGAAGACTGGATTTACTGACCACCTACAGGTCATAACTACATGTTACTGTAACACAATCGCTAATTTTTAGACTTTGAAAATCACTACAGCACATGCTAAGTCTTTTCAGTCTGCTGTCACTAGTCACTTCCTGGTGGAGATTCTTCAGGACTAGATATGGCAACAGTGCATTAACAAAGATCAAAATGTCCTGAAAGATGATGTTAGAATTTTGCAAATGGGATAAAAAACTAAACATTTCATAAACAAGTACAGCTGTCCCTGTGATTGAATAATTAAGCACCCTGCCATGATGCATGGGGGAGTGAAGGTGACCCAATATCCTTCATCTCACCACTAGATGGAGGCGAGGGGTCAGCATTTCCAGGCAACTTTACCCTTAGCAAAAGAGTTCCTGGTACCCATCACACAGGAGACTGGGTGGGACCCAGGGTCAGTGTGGAGAAGAGAAAATTATTGTCCTTGCCAAGAATTTAACCCCAGCCACCCGCCTGCAGCTTGCTGCAATACTGACCAAGCTATCCAGGCTCATGAAATGAATTCCTGAATTCTGCTGAGTTGACTGTGATGACATACTTGCAATGTTCCCTCATAACACTTACCGATCTCAGAAGAGCTGTGTTGTCTGACTCAGCAAACTTCCCAAGATAGGTGACAAAAGTTTTGGCCATTTCAGAGTATTTGAGTTTCAGTATTTCACTTGGCACTTTCTTAATACCCATTCCAAGTAGCATGACAACAGCAGTCACTGATTCTTCTGATTCACAAACATCTAGAGTTGTCATCTGTAAAAGAACCATCACAAAAATTGTTTGATAAATGCATATGAGAGTTCATCAATAAAGCACTTGCTGATACGAGATCTGACGTTTTCATGGCCATGATGATATAGATGATGTCTTAGGTTATAGCACTGCATATTGTCTGTGCATTCCGTTACTAGCACAGCACATGTACAATATGCACAGAGAGAATTCTTAGTCAGAATCTTCAGATAACTATTTTTCACAATCATAGTTCTTTTTTATATACACTACAAAAATGAAAAAGTGAAAATTAATTTCAATGAGTATACATTTATAAAGAAACTGTCATCAGCTCATGTACGTGCAGAAACAGATTTAGCAAAGAAGCTTGTGGAACAGGCAGTGTGCATACAGTATCACAGACTTGCATCAAGGCTAAGATGTAGGGTTTCCTGTCACGTGTTAATGACTAAACACAGGGTTTGAATTGGCAACTGGATTTACTGTGAACACTTATAGCTCATACTACAAGTACCTACAACACTTTCCCAGATCTACACACTTGACAGATCACTACAGCACTTGCTATGTCTCAGCCTCTTATACGAGTATCTTTGCTGGTAACTATTTGGTTGCCATCTTCATTATGCTTTGCTCGGTCATGGTTCCTAACCTCTGCTTCCATACTCATGTCATTGTTGGCTGTCTAACACCTCACTACTAACTCATAACTGACTGACTGACTTCAGGGTCAAAGTTATGTTACAACCGACAGGTGGCCAGTCAGTCTTGGTGTCAAGCTCCGTCTGGGGCCCAAGACTAGATTTTTGTTCCTGTCAGATAGCTGGGGGTTTGTTGATGTGGGGCACCCTCTCTGATGAGAGGGCAAGTCTGTCACAACTGTTGCTGGCCCTCACCAGTGCAGTCATTTTCGGGTTCAAGTCCCACATGATTCATGATTATATTTTACTGTCTCAGATTCAAGACTCCCCCAACCAGGAGGGCCAGGTCCCCACATTTATATGCCCCAGGAACAGGGAGGCGCAGTTATACCACTAGGCACTGGGTTCCTTTTTCATTACCTTGTATGACATACAGGGCTACATGGAGGTATTCAAACCCACCTTCACACAAATGTGACTAACTTCAGTTACATTACAATAGGCAGTTTACCGCCAATTAGTTTGTCTTGGCATCNCTGTTGTTTTGGGGGGGGGGGGGGGGGGAGAGCAACTGCATTCCTGCAGTCATAGACTTGTAACTGACTTGTCATGTTGTTTCTCATTATATAGCCTCAGGTGGACCTGCACAGAAAATGGAGCCTATTGCAGAGTAACAGCTCACTGTTTAATGACATCACGTGTTTACTGTGCCATAACCTAGCAACAGCTGTCTCTTTCAGTCAACATGTCACATTATTTTTAATTAAATCAATTGCTAACTTTACATATTCTCTTCATCAGAACTCGGTATTTGTATATATGAACATGCTCAACAACCAGCAAGCATGCAGCAACACTGCCCTTCACTTTCACTTTCACTTTATTTTAAATTCCATAGATCTCTTTCAGGTCATGCATGCCATAGGATATAGAACATGTCAAAATACATAAACACATACATAAAAACAATGAACCCATCAAGATGCAATACAGTCACAATACAATGCCATTCACCTCCATAGCTTATCTGAACAAGCCTCTAAGCCTCATATAATATGTACAATTATTAATTTATCATTTCTCCTAGCCTCTGTAAACAGATGTGTTAAGATTAAAGAAAAGTAACCTCATAAGTTCTACCCATTTCAAATGAATTATTTGAAAATGGTGCTTCAACTGCAAATATTATAAAGTATCTGAAACCAACTGAAGATCATGGTGGTAAATTGGTAAGGACTTGGGAGGAGGAGAGTGTCCAATACAGAACTAAAGATATGTGAATTTCATGAAGGCTAACAGTTATGTTATTCAAGGTGTTACAAACTATATACAATCTGTAAAAATTACAATGCCAAAACAAACTCTGTAGATGGTCATAAGAGATATTGATGCCAGCCATTTACTACAATTGCATATGGAAGTAAAAATAAATTGAACCATGAATTCAAATTTTGGCTATTACTGCTGAAATACACTCACCAGTGCACCCAGGTATTCAACTGTGGTCTCTTTGCCTCCATTAGTTTTGATGACCTCAGTAACAGCAGCCAAAACAGCCAACATCTCTTTATGAAGTGCTGAACTTGGGCAGAACCCCTTCAACAACCTGTTCATTAGAAGGTGCTCTTTTAATTCCATTACTTGCAAGCCATAAAAATTTATTGTGATGTCATAATTCAGGTGGTTAGTCACCGGACTCATACTGCGGAGGGCCAAGAACCTGCTGCCTGCTGTGGGCAAGACTCCTGTGGGAACAGTGCCAAGCTGTGTGTGGCTTGTGTGTGGGTGTGCAAACATATGTACATTTAAAAAAAATGGTGAATTTATCTACATCATTTTGAGCACTGGTGAGAGTGCAATAGTTACGTACGTACACAACCCCAGAGAAAGAACCCATCTCTGCACATTTTGAAAAGCAAGCATCTATGTACGTACGAGGGGTGGGCCACAATCCGGCCCCTGCACTGTCTTTCCCCTTTAATTGACCCCTTATTTATCCTACACTTTCGAATGAAATGCAAGACTTATTTATGGGGGCATCATGGTAGTCACTTGGTTCCATAAAGAACTGGCCCAAGTGACAAAATCTTAAATGAGCTATGGCCTCCCAATTGCATGGAATGTGTAAGCTAGCATCTAACTTACAGACCAAGTTTCAAATGCACCAGATTTGTTGCATGAAGTGAGAGAAGAAAGATCTAGTGGGAGGCTACAGACCCCTAGGACACCTGAGACAATCCTGAACTGGTTTCACATGTTCAGACAAATCATCAGTATGCCATCACATTTAGTTCAGAATTAAGTGGTGGGTGTACTTACTTGTTAAATGACACATTTGAACACTCACTCCAGTCACTAGCAAATGTCTGAAATGTTTTGAAAGTTCCTCGAAAAGTTGCATCTCCGTCCTCATCTTGTGATTGTTCTGAACCACTTCTACCTGCTCCCAGCAGGGCATCATGCTTCTTCAGTGCTTCTGATGTCAGATTACCTTCCCCTGAAAGTATAATACACAGGCACTCATTCCAGTCAGTGAACAATTTGGCTATTCATATCAGAAATGTACAAAAAACATTCTTCCTCCCTGGCAGCAAACTTCTGTGGACATACAGGCATTTAATTCATAATTTATTTACACCCATAAACTCTTACACAAGTCGGTTTAAGCCATCTAAAACACTACAACTCAGCAACTCTTAGAAATGGACAAAATGATACACAAGACTAAAACCAATACAATCATCTTAGGATCTTCGCCCCCCCCCCACTGAAGCTAGCAACCAAGGATGACGCCCCCCAACAATCCCATATAAAGCAATACCAACTATATACATCCACACCACATCAGAGCCAACCCGAACAACAAAACTACCATCCATCATTGTTACCAAAAAAACTCCTGCAGAGAATAAAAACAGTTTTGTGATAAATAATGTTTTAATTTGTTTTTAAAACTTTAAAAATTTCTGTTCTTTTTAATTTATTATTTATACCCTCAGAATTTTCATACAGTGGAGAGATTACTTTAAAGAAATGAATGAAAGAACAAACTTCATTTATTGGTATAAAATTTGAAGCTTTCAGGGTGAACAAATGTATCAAAATCTTCTTGGGTGATTAGCCATGTTGATATTGGTTTAAAAATCAATGATGTGGATGCAAACCTCTGAAACGTTAGTTTTTAGGCCAACTGCCACAGAATATTTTTGTTCATTTATTTTATTACAATGCTTTAAAATGCCAAAATTTATATCAGTTCACTAAAAAGATTCATAACAAATGTTTGAATAAAAAAGGTTTAATTTTTATGTCAACTGCAATAGCCAAAACAACAAATTAATTCAATGAAATATTTTGCTTATACAGTAAAATACGTTTTTATGGNTTGTGGGGGGGGGGGGTTATTTTATAATACCATCAGCATTTAAGACTATACAGCAACAAATGGTAGGCTGACTGATAATATGAGGAACTCTGCAAAGTATTTTAAAGGAAGCAGTCTGGGCCTAGTCAAGATGATATTAAATTAAGGCTGAGTACCAGAGCAACGTAATACAAACCACTGAGACAAGATCGTGAGTCGGAATGATGACGGAGAGACCAACCTCAACTAAACGAACATGCAATTCAGCTTAATTCACTAATTCATGATAATAATACAATTACTTTAACCTACTTAACCAGTCTTTCGATCAATTCTGGGGGGGGGGGAAACATTAAATATGACACACAGTACTTAATTTATGATGGCAATGGCTTCAGTAAAACCTGAAACTTTCAAAATGGAGCAACTGGAAATGATCCTGACGTAGTTCTTGAAATGTACGAGGTTAATTACGAATATACTGAATACCACATCGGGTGGTGCTCTCAATTCTAAAATTAAAAATCACGTGCAAAGTCAGTCACGTATAAAATTCTTGAACTTACCAGGATGTTCTTGAAAGAATCTGGACTTCGCAACATTTCTATGTCTTTTGGTTTCAGGATTCGAACTTGAACTGTGTCCTTTCTTCCATCGCTTTCCTTTCCCTTTCATTCTATAACGGAAATTAGCCATAATGTCCTAGTCCTAGCCACACTATCCACTCTCCACACGATTCACTCCCCCACACAACTACCACATTAAACACGTGCTCGAAAAATTCCTGTGACTTACGTGCCAATGTAGGACAGCCATATGATCCAACAAATATTTCCCTTTAACCCATAGAAGGGAAATAATCATATGAAACGGTGACGCAACTGGAATTCGGAGCCGGGACACATGCACTAGCGGTATCTATGTACCCAGCCTGGGAGTTACTCGTACTTGTGCTATGTGTATGCCAATCATTCCAATTATTCATGAAAGATGGCCTATGCTCGCTCTGATCCCTACGGCTTTAAACCAATCTCACCATTGCTCAACATAGCGGGAAAATTAAAAGATTTCGTTAAACCAGGCAGTGCCCTGAGTCTGCTAGGCTGCAATTTTGGATTCTGATTTTGTATCGCTGTGAAACTTGATTTTCTCGGCCATTTTCAAGCATAAAGGTACACGTGGACACCAAACCATTTCATATTCTTACATTCCTTCTTCCAATAAAAAATGGATATGAGAAAATATTTGGGTATGGGTGAAGTGGTACCAATACACTGAACTTAAATTCTACAACTTCCCAAGGAATCCGGCACGGTAGTCTATTGTACATCTCTGTTTTTATTCGTTGCAAGCTGATCTATCCATTACTGCCCCAGAGCAGTAGGAAGTCGAATGTATTTAAAGTTACAGTGTTAATCTTATGAGGGTCGTACTGAAAGTCATGAGCAACAATTTTTTGTAAAGTAACATGCTTTATTATTGACAAACCAAATACGCCACCTCAATCTACAGGCCTTTCTTTATTTTTCCACATAATCGTCACTACTTTATACACATTTCTCCCAGCGTTCTGGTAGTTTGAAAATTCCCCTTCTGTAAAATTCCGTTCCAGCCATCCGAAGACAGTGACTCACTGCCTTCTGAATTGCCTCCCTTGTCTCAAAACGTTGTCCATGCAGCTGATCCTTCACAAGTCCGAAAAGATGGTAGTCGGAGGGTGCCAGATCAGGGCTATAGGAGGGGTGTGGAAGAACTTCCCACCCCATCTATGCAATTGCTTCCAATGTGAGGCGAGCGGCATGGGGGTGAGCGTTGTCATGCAGGATAATGATGTTTCGTCCCGGACGTTTATCGCGCAATGCACGACGGAGCTTGTGCGTCTGGACATAACAAGCAGCATTGATGGTTTGCCCAGGTTCCAGGAATTTGGCCAGAATAAACCCCTCTGCATCCCATAAGACTGTGCCCATCACCTTCACAGCTGATGACACTGTCTTTGTTTTCTTTTTTGATGGAGAATGCAAATGGTACCATTCCATACTCTGCCATTTCGTTTCAAGCTCGAAATGGTGAAACCAGCTTTCGTCACCTGTCACAATACAGAGCAAAAAGTTATCGCCTCTGTGTCGATATCTCTGCAGCAGTTCTGAGGTGATGGCATTTTGCTGACCTTTGTGGTCTTAGGTCAATAACTGCGGGACCCAACGAGCACAATTTTTCCTATAGCCCAAGCTTTCAATCATCTCCTGTACTGCACTGCACTGCACTGTGCCTTATTCCAAGTTTTCAGGATACTGTATCCACAGTCACACACCTGTCATCTTGAATGATCTCATCCACTCTCTCCTTGTTGCGTTCAGTTGAGGCTGTTCGAGGATGACCGCTCCGAGGCTCATCTTTGATGCTGGTATGCTTCACCCATCTTCGAACACTGCTCGCACAGACTTCCATAAGCATGCTGAAGTCTCTGCTGAATTTCTGCAGCAGGGATTTCCTCTTTCACAAGAAATTCGATGACAGCACACTGGCTAAACGACATATGGTTGTCGGCTATTTTGTTAGGAGTGATACTGGTCACGTGATGCAAGCTACTGACATCACAAAGACACTCAAGGTTAACATAACAGCTGGTTCCACCTACCACCATACTCTTTTTCGTTTGCTGCTCCCAGGTTGCATGCAAAAAAATGTTGCTCATGACTTTTGGTACGACCAACGTAGTTATACTGATAATGAGTAATAGAAACGTGAGCAAATTAAGTAATCTATTATATTTAATAGTCTAGGTCCAGTAGTAGAAATCTCACGCTCTTGTAACTGCCACTTTTCTTTCAATAATTATTCTAATGTTTAACAATAGTAATTAATATCTCCACAACCATTATTTTCATTTCCATGGAGCTTTCTTATTTGGCAGAACATTAATTCTGCAATATATGCTATGCTTTTCTAAGGCAAACTGTAAATCCTCTGTATTTTGCTAAATTTTAAGTACTGTCATTTAATTGTGTAATATTAAGAATAAACTTTTTCAGATAGACGTATATGGAAAGCGAGTAGATTTTTTGGTTCTTTAAACTCTGTTGAACATGATAAACCTCAGTGGCCTAGGATGAATAATTGAAAAACTTATTTAATATATTTAAAGATATGAAGGAAGACTTGGGGGGGGGGTTGATATAAAAAGGGCCTGGCAGTTTTAGAACACAGGGCAGAAAAGAATAAAAAACAATTGATCTAAAATGAAGGCCTGTATGTAATGAAATCCACACTGAACTCCGTAACCTCCATGTACAAAGCTGGAAGGTTTTGTGTCATGTAACAATTTCTCTATAGCATAAAAATATTGTACTACTCAAAGTGAGATTTTACACTAGCATACAGTGGTGAAAGGAAATACCATGCATATGACAAAACAAAGGAACATAGTATGTAAACAAATATTACATCACAACTGACACTGTACACAACATAGCATATAAAATGCAATTATCAGACTATGTTCATGTGTGCCAGCCAGAGCACATGTACAGATCTGTATACTTTTATTTATTTATTTATTCACTTCACATCCATGGATCATTATACATGACATAGGACAAGTCACCTTTCACCCTGTCCATCATTCGAGTTATGCATTCTGTGCACATGCATTCCCCTCCCCTTTCCCCTCACACCAGGGCCAGTGGCTGTTCTTCTGTGTTCACAGCTTGCAGACATCTGGCACTGGGAGATCAATTTGGAAATTCTGTCTGGTAAGGAAGTAAGTAAGTAAAGGTATCACCATAACAGGCCATGGAGACCCATAGGGTTGTGAGATGTTGAGGTTCCCACATTTTCTAGACAGTCTGCTCACAGATGGTGGCAAGTTTGTCAGCCTTACGCACCGACCGCCCTTTAACTCCCAAGAACATTCCAAGAATATTCCTGGTACTCCTTTCTGTTAGGGGCTGAGTTGACCCCAGGGCCATAGTGCAACTGAAAAAAATCCAATGACCTCATATCCACTGTAAAATTGTTTGAGTTTTTTGTTGTTTCCTGAGCAGGCAGTCTGGTCTATATGTTGTTTTGCTATCCTGTAAATTGAGGGGGGGGGGGACCTTGGTATGGGCAGGTGATGCATAGACTGTATCAGAATGTCTTATTTTCATTTTGAACCACATTATATTTACAATTTTATTTTCTATTCATTTGTCAAAGCAGTTATTTTGTTTTGGGTTGAGTTTTGCTTGTACCATAGTCTTTAAGTAAATACATTTTCTATTTCATGAGGCATTAGACTTCTTTGTGATTTGAACCCTCACTGTGTTTTTATGTTACAGTCTTTGACATGCATACAGAGATTCAGACCTTATTTTATGCTAAAAATTCTAAAAGAGAATGAGAGACAGATGAATAGAATATCATCACAACCACCACCACCACTGTCATCGTCATCACCCTCCTCCTCATCATCCACAAAATACAAATGCTGCATAAACAGTCATCATGATAACAAGCTGATAGAGAATGCCATAACAAATCCATGTTTCACTTTTTATTGCCATAGTGCACTGCTCACACTAATCAGAGGTACAGAAAAGACACAGGAACATAATATCATGAATGTTCAATATACAGACATTTTTAATGGCTATTATTTTTCTGTCTTCAGCTGAGTCATCATGGTGCAAACTTCAAAGCTTAAAATTTGGCTTAACACACAGGTATTTGATGATTTCATGGTATGTTCAGTTCTTATGATTAAGAATTTATAACAATTAAGATTAATCCTAGTGACTACCAACCTCTCTAAACCAAAAGGCTTAAAATTTCAGGTCACTTTTTTATTAATCAGATAATGAGGTAGCATCTGTTGCAACAAAATGTAACTATTATCAATTTATATATTAATTAAATAATTAATGGAATACAAATCTAATTGTAATTAGGATGCCACTAATTTACTCCAGTCAACATTTAAACACAGAAAACATGATTCAAATGTAATAATATAAATTAAAAGAAAATTAGTTTATCACAGTGGCTGCATGGTTGAAGGAGTATGTCTTGGAGTGATCAAACAGTGGCACCAAAAAGTTCAAATCCCACTCTAGGCATGGATTAAGTCCATGTTTCTCTGCAGCTGTGTCATCCTGGAAATCTGGAAATGTATAGATCTTGCTATCAGCCGATTCGCCATTCAAGGAGCCATACATGTCTAAAATGAATTCACAGTTTCACATTTAATTCTGAATTGTAACAGGCCTGATGGTCTAATCCCTGGATTTGAATTAATGAGATGAAATGAGTGACTGAAATAGGAAATGGACTCCTGGACTGTCAAAAGAAACTATTGGCATCATTAAATTTATACACTGAACAGTAAAATACTCATTTCAAAATGGTCCTTCTCCAGTCTGAGGTGAAACTCCTGTTCATCCTGTTCCAAGCGATTTCTCTTCCAAAACCATTTTTTGAAGTTTAAACTTTTGGATTTTTCCAGAAACAGTCTTAGGGAAGTCTGCCATAAATCGAATGTGACGTGGAATTTTGAAATGTGCAATCTGCAAACAATAAGAACCACAATATTTATAAAACCATTCTCATATTTACAAATTAAGTTACTAATTTCTTAGTTTCTGTGGAAAATGTCAGTATTACAGTGTGGTACAGCTTTATACGTAATGATTTTCTAGGCAATGCAACTGTTTCACATATTAATGGTGGAATGCTTATCAGTTTCATTATTATGACATAGATAATCATCATGCTGATGATACTAGCATAGTCATTACTAACCTTAGGTCTGCTGAT